GAACTACCACATAAGGCTTGCGTCAAAGCAATCGAACAATTGGTGCAGGGAATATGCTCATATCATGCCCATTCTCTGCAAACGGCAAACAACTAATGACGACCTGCCAACGCGACCTGAGAAACTCGTCTCTGTGCCCCTGAGACCTGCGCCCAAACTCCAAGCTCGAAGAGGGATGCTGGCGGGACAGTATATGCAGGCGAAACTTCTAAGGATCGGCCACTGCAGGTTTGCCCAGTCGGCAAGACAAAGGAACACGAATAAACCAAATGCTTGTTTTTAATCCGCAAAAGCTCTAGGTCGCACGCGAACGTACAGCTACCAAGCCCACTCCTGAATCAGCTTTTGGTAGCCGCTCACGGTCTGGGCCATGTCAGTGACTGCCTGAGGCAGAGTAGTCAGAAGTGCAACCTAGGCGAAATCAGCGCAACTGGCCTTCGTGTTGGTTTCTGGCTGAGCGGGAGCGGGGATGTGCATTTGCATGCTCACGCCCTTGCCCATTCCCTGCCATGGTGCCAAGTCTACCTTCTCTCAGTCCACCGGCCCGACTATTCGTGATGACATGCCTCAATGAGTGCTCCTGTCTGTGTGTATGTGCGTGTACGTGTGCACGCGTGAGTAAATGCAAGCGTCGATGAGCGTTTGCGTACATGCCGTGTCGCAACCGGCCACGCCGCGCCGCGCCGTACCGCACTATGCCGCGCCATGCCGTGCCGCGCCACGTGCTGCGTACGGGCAAGTGTGGGCGTAGTGTGTGTGTGTGTGTGTGTGTGTGTGTGTGTGTGTGTGTGTGTGTGTGTGTGTGTGTGTGTGTGTGTGTGTGTGTGTGTGTGTGTGTGTGTGTGTGTGTGTGTGTGTGTGTGTGTGTGTGTGTGTGTGTGTGTGTGTGTGTGTGTGTGTGTGTGTGTGTGTGTGTGTGTGTGTGTGTGTGTGTGTGTGTGTGTGTGTGTGTGTGTGTGTGTGTGTGTGTGTGTGTGTGTGTGTGTGTGTGTGTGTGTGTGTGTGTGTGTGTGTGTGTGTGTGTGTGTGTGTGTGTGTGTGTGTGTGTGTGTGTGTGTGTGTGTGTGTGTGTGTGTGTGTGTGTGTGTGTGTGTGTGAGTTTGTGTGTGTGTGTGTGTGTGTGTGTGTGTGTGTGTGTGTGTGTGTGTGTGTGTGTGTGTGTGTGTGTGTGTGTGTGTGTGTGTGTGTGTGTGTGTGTGTGTGTGTGTGTGTGTGTGTGTGTGTGTGTGTGTGTGTGTGTGTGTGTGTGTGTTGTGTGTGTGTGTGTGTGTGTGTGTGTGTGTGTGTGTGTGTGTGTGTGTGTGTGTGTGTGTGTGTGTGTGTGTGTGTGTGTGTGTGTGTGTGTGTGTGTGTGTGTGTGTGTGTGTGTGTGTGTGTGTGTGTGTGTGTGTGTGTGTGTGTGTGTGTGTGTGTGTGTGTGAGTGTGTGTGTGTGTGTGTGTGTGTGTGTGTGTGTGTGTGTGTGTGTGTGTGTGTGTGTGTGTGTGTGTGTGTGTGTGTGTGTGTGCGTGTGTGTGTGTGTGTGTGTGTGTGTGTGTGTGTGTGTGTGTGTGTTTGCATGTTGCGTGAGTGCCCGTGTGCGCGTGCGTCGTTCGTGTGAGCCCTGTGCGTGTGCGGTGCGTTAGTGCGTGTGCGTGTGCGGGTGAGCGTGTGCGTGTGCGTGTGCTTGTGCGTGTGCGTGTGCGTGTGCGTGTGCGTGTGCGTAGGTGCGTGTGCGTGTGAGCGTGTTTGCAGTGTGCATGTGCGTGTTGCGGGTGCGTTGTGCGGGTGCGGGTGCGTGTGCGGGTGCGGGTGCGGTGCGGGTGCGGGTGCGGGCGGGTGCGGGTCGGGTGCGGGCCGCGGGGCGCGGGCGCGGCCGCGGGCGCGATGCGCGGCGCGGCGCGGGCGCGGTGCGCGGCGCGGGTCGCGGGCGCGGGCGCGGGCGGGGCGCGGGCCGAGCGGGCGCGGGCGCGTGCGGTGAGGGTGCGTGTGCGGTGCGGTGTGCGGTTCGGTGCGGTGCGGTGCGGGTTGCCGGTGCGGGTGCGGGTGGGGGTGCGTGCGTGCGTGCGTGCGTGCGTGCGGGTGCGGTGCAGATGTGTCGGGTTGCGGGTTGCGGGGGAACGGGCGTGTCGGGTGCGTGCGGGTGCTGCGTGCGTCGTGCGCGTGCGCGTGCGCGGCGCGTCGCGAGCATTAGCGGCGCGAGCGCGTTGCGCGTGCGCGTGCGCGTGCGCGTGCGCGTGCGCGTGCGCGGCGCGTGCGCGTGCGCGTGCGCGT